GCACGTTTCAATATTTAATTGAAAAAAATGGGGCGTCTGTATTGCGTTTTAAACTAGCCCCGTTGACAAAGTCTAGATTTAAAAAAATTAAATTGGTCTAAGACAGAGGGAAATTGAACTGGGACAGTGCGATCACGACGTTGGACTGTAACCTCTCGCATTTGCATAGAAGTCGCAAAAAACCTATTAAACCGGTCTCATTTATGCACAATACGCCCAGTCCGACATTGCACTTAATTGGCCGATAACATCTGAAAGTAGATCATAATGCACGAAGATGCATATTAGATAAATTATACAAGCGTTACTTTCCTGTCTTTGGACGATTCGCTTTACTTTCTTTACTTTCACAATTTCGGAGCGGCCAGGAAAAAGGGCACTTTTGTCAGATTTAATTAATGGCAAACATTAAGACGCTAAGCTGATGTTGCGTGATAACCAAGATATTGCAATTAACCAGGCGGCCAAAGACATCGAGATGGGAAAGTTGCCGCAATAACACTACGAATTGCACTATAAGGAAGCTTATTAGTTCATGCATGCATAGACACCCTGTGTTTACTGCTAAAAAGAAAAACCACTGCGAGTACGACTGATAACTTGGAAACTTGCCGCTATAGAGGAGGTTGAAAGGTGCGAAAAAGTCAGAATTTTACCGCAGTGAAGATAAACAAAATTTTCTTGCCAGCATTCCTGAATCGCTAGTTGAGACACTTTTTGAGCCCAAAAATTATGCAATGTGTGGCTTTGAAGCTACTAAATCCAAGCATTTTTGCATCAAAAATAATTTCTCTTTAGGGCTTTTTTCAACAACAAGTTTTTTAATGTAGCTACGTTACCATCAAATTTAGAATTGCCAAAATTTTGGGATACCTAGAGAAATGTGGCAACGTCATCAAAATCGCCACTAAGAATGTTTACTCGCCAAGCAACATTAAAGTAACAGAACCTTTCAAACCTTGCAACATTTCCAACGTTGTTCCAGACATGAAGAAAACTGTTCGCCCGCTTTTGCAATTTTCGCCTGTAAGTCTCCATATTTTTGAAATTTCCCAACCTCAAAAACGAAAAATTAGTTCTCAAGATGCTCTATCGAAAAGTTCCTAGTGTTTATCCGCGCATTTTTAACCGTTTGTGTTTGATTCAACCCCCAGAAATTGACAATTTGACTTCTATCCTTTTACAGGTTAGGAATTTTTGTTCAATCCTAAGCACTGATAATCCTTAAAATATTCAAATGTTCTAAACTATTTCCGAAATACCCATGAAAATGCTCCAAAATCCATCAAGTTCTCGGCTTATGCCAAATATTTTAAAGGTTAGAAGTTTCTGATGATGAAATCCTGATAAGGGCAAAGAGATTTTGAGACGCTTTATCGAAACAGTGCTCAAGATTATTTACGCATTTTCACCCGTTTCTGAGAAATAAACTGTTAAACTTCTGCAGCCCCTGGAAACTGGAAAAATGTTCGTTCAACGTTCGGTAGGTTAGGAATTTTGGGAAAACCTAAATAGGAAATAACATATCTAAAGCTCTATGGAAAATGTTCTGATAATTAGTCAGATATTTTAAACAGTTGTCGAGATATATGCGCTCAAACTTGATCAATTTCTTAAGTGGGGAATTTCACTTCAATCCTTTTAGAGGTTAGGGTGTAGACATTGCAACGAAAATAGCTCAATGACTATTCAGATCTTTTCGACTCCAAAGGAGATATAAATGACAGTTCTCAAAACTTGAAGTTTTGGTTTTGCCTGTTTGGAGGTTAGAAATTTTGAATCAACCTCAATAGGGAAAAGTTAGCTCTGGAAATCTCTATCGAAATGCTTTTTCGGACGCATCAGATATTTTCGCTCGTTTCCGAAATATAGGGGGTTTGCTCACTTTAGCTTCGAATTTTTCACATGCTTGCTTC